TATATTTGAACATATTCTACAGAGGATTCTACCATCTTATATGGGAATTGGTTCTGCTATCAATCTGTTTTTCCCATTAGGAGGGTTTTCCTAATGCTCACAAGAATTTGTCTCCTGCTTTAAAACCTTTCTTTTCTGCTTTGTGTTCTGAGACAGTAGAGAATAAGTTTTGATCTCTTTCTGTGTGAACCTTTCAAATATGTGAAAAGTGTTATCCCCTTTTCCTCAGTTGTTTTTTTTCTCAAGATTAAACATGTTCAATTTATTCAGCCTCATTTTTGTTGTGGTCTGCCAGCAGCCTGCAGAGATGGCAGCAGAATCAGACAGTGGGGAAGAACATGGGCCAGTCCGGAAATCTGGGGAGGACCTGGATGAGGGTCCTGCATCTGATACAGAGATGGGATCAGGGACATCTGGGTGTTATGTGTTGACTCCACAGCCTCTGGAATCTGACAGCAGTGAGACAGAGAAACAAGGGGAGACTGATCCCAATGTGTGTGTGCACAGAGCTGCCAGAAGGCAAGAGCAGTTAAGACAAAAGGGGCAACTCATGAGTAAAACTGGAGATAATTGCCCCTCCCATAAGATATAAAGGAAGTGGAAAGGTACAGGAACCTTTGCAGGAAGCAATGTTGTTCTCTCTGGTCGGTTTGGAACCTGAAAGCTCCATGGTGAATTTGTGCTCTATTTGGTTTTGAAAGACTAATTGGTACTTTAGTCATTGGCAGCACTTCAAGTAAGATAAAGGTGTATTTTTATCAGACTTCTCCTGAAGAACTTTGGCAGACTTCCATGGGACTATTTATAACTGATTGAAAATCATTATGGGCTGTGAATGATGATAATTCATAGCCATTGAACTAAAATAAAAGGGTTTGGATTTAACGTGTGTTTGTTGATGTCTCAGGAAGCCTTGGTCAGAACAATTGTGTAAATTTCCAGTTTCCTGATCCTTTGCTATTAGTCCAATTTCTCAGAATATTCCTAAAGTAATCATTATGGGACACACTGTTTAAGGTGACACTTACCACTTTTCCATCATTTGGAAATCATGTTTCTGCTAATGCAACCTGAAATTGCTTTTTAGCTACCATGTCATATTGTTGAATCGTATTCAGCTTGCATTGAATGACAATCTCAAGGACTTTTTAAATTATTTCTTCATCATGTGTGCTATTACCACGCCAGGTTTCCATCATCTTATGATGAGTTGAGTCTTGATATGTAGTTCTTATCTATTGATTTTAATGCCTACCGTTCATATGATTCACATTTACATCCATTAACCAAGCACATTTTTTTCAGTCAAACTTGTTCTAGCAGTTCTTCATCTACATATCGTAGTTCCTTCAACAACACCGTTTCCATAGGTAGTCATTCACTTGCAACTTTCTTTCCCATTGCAATCCTCTTTCATGGACTGAAAATGAGAAAAAATGCCACCTGAGTCTCCATGTTCTTCTTAGAACTTCAAAATCTGAGGTAATTTGTCCCATTTGGATTGACTAGAAAAGGAGTATCTTTTAATAGACTTGATGATCCTTGACAATTGTTTTATTCTATCTACTATCCATAATTTCAGGAGGTATCAGATCTATTCTCAGTATTATGAAGTAATCAAATATTTTCTGCACTATTGAGTCATCCTCTCCCATTTGTCTTCTTGCAGGTAACACTTGTATTCCCCTTTGCTCTTGAGGCTCCGTCATTTTGTCTCCTATTCAGACTAGTTCCTTTTTCTTTCTCAGAACCTGTACTGAAAAATGTTTTTAAATTTCAGTGAAACATAACAGCTTTTGAATTTTGAATTTGTTCTTTCTTTTCTATTAGATTCTTCTTCTTGTGGAGAATTGCTTATCTATTAGCTCTTGTTATAAGATCTTTACTGGTTAAAAGATCTTCGTTTTCTTTTTTGAAGCACTCTTTCGAGACATTTACTTTTTTCCTCATATGCCTTTTACAATATCCAAAATGAGCTTTGTTCTCCCCAGTTATTTTCAAATTTAAGTGTCATACAAATACATTTTATGTTTGTTATTTTTAAGGGATGTTATTTTTTTTTACATTTCTAGTTTCAAGATACTCTTTAATAAGCCATACAATTTTTGACTTAAATGTACTGTACTACTGTATTGTTTTATAACTTTTTCTGAAGTGGGTTTTCTTTAGTAATCTAATTTCTTTTTCTTGATTGTAATGCTGTTCAAAGACTATAAAAAAATAAAAAGGCCAATTCTTTTCCTTAAGCATTGCAGTGAGTTTCATTTGCTATATACACATGCTTTTAATTTTGTTTGGTGGACTTTGCCACAGAACTTGTAAGATATGACTACAGAAATACCTCCATACATTTTCTCTTCTATTCTTGAACTACCCAGAAAAATTCATGACTGCCTTATAGTCTATCCACAATCTCTATGGTGGTTTCTACTTACTCATTAAAGTGGTAATGTTTCAATTATTCAGGATGGACAATCTTTGCAATCTGTAGCTATTCAGGAAAAGCACACAATATATCAATGATGATGTAAAGCTGTTCAATACCACAGACAATACTGCTACCCTACAAAAAGATCTTGACTATGTATCAGAATGGTCAAACAAATGGCAACTTCAAATCTCAACAAATAAATGTTCTGTCTTACATATTGGCAAAAAAAATCAGAAAATAAAATACAAGCTGAATAGTCAAGATCTTGTTGATGACCCAAGCTCTGTAAAGGACCTTGGAATACTCACCTCTAATGATCTAAGTGCTAGAGCCCACTGCAACTACATAGCCAAAAAGGCATTAAGAGTTGTTAACTAATCCTACGTAGCTTTTTCTCTGGTAATATCACACTACTAACCAGAGCATACAAAACATTTGCTAGACCAATACTCGAATACAGTTCATCAGTCTGGAACCCTCATTACGTATCTGATATTAACACAATTGAGAAAGTCCAGAAATATTTCACAAGAAGAGTTCTCCACTCCTCTACTCGTTGTAGAATACCTTATGCCACCAGACTTGAAATTCTAGAACTAGAAAACCTTGAATTACGCCGTCTTCGGTCTGACTTAAGCATGGTATATAAAATCATACATTGCAATGTCCTACCTGTCAATGAATACTTCAGCTTCAACCATAACAACACAAGAGCACACAATAGATACAAACTCAAAGTAAACCGCACCAAACTTGATTGCAGGAAATACGACTTCAGCAATAGAGTGGTCAATGTCTGGAATACTCTACCCGACTCTGTAGTCTCTTCCCCAAACCCCAAAAACTTTAACCTTAGACTGTCTACTATTGACCTCACCCCTTTCCTAAGAGGTCTGTAGGGGGCGTGCATAAGCGCACCAACGTGCCTACCGTCCCTGTCCTATTGTTTCTCTTATTCTTTTATTTTTCTTATATGTACCCATTTCATGTATTCACAACTATGTATACACTTATACTTATTATCTTGTAAACAATTGGCAAATCAAATAAATAAATAAATAAATAAAGTGAGGAGGACATGGCAGAAAAATATGAGCCGGCATGGCTCAGTGATTGGAATAGTAACCAGGATGAGGAGGTGGATGTAACAAAGGAAGACAGACCTGAAGTATTAGAATTGTCAGGACCTTTGACCTCCTCTGGTTCTTTATCTGATCAGCAGCCGGGAATGGCTGACA